GAATCTGGCTTCCCCATTGACTTTGGTTGTCAGCAGTTGAGAAATGGTGATCACATGACCCCAGGACACAGCAACCGCGATGAATACATGCCAGTTGCCAAGCAGCCAAATTTTGATCATGTGCCACAGGGAAGCTCCAATGGCTGTGAATGTGAAAAACAGACATAAGTCACTTTTATCAATGCCATTGTAACTTTGAATGTTCACTAAACAAATGGTTGTAAGTTGAGGACTACCTGTATTAACAAAATTACAGCAGAGGGCTGACTATGGTATGGACATTTTCTTTTTTTTAGGCATGTGAAGATTTACAGTACAACTTCCTACAAAGTAGTGCACAGTTTTAACTATGAAGCATCAATTCTCAGTCTTGCATTAGCAGTAAGTAGTATAATCTGGTGGGTATACAGATAATAGTCATTTGTATCTGTGTATTGTTCTAGGCCAAAAATGTTTTGACTTGCTTTTGGTTTAATCTAATGCTGTGAACTCTACTATTCTTTTATTTTGTAGACCTTCAGATTTTGTCAGTAAAAATGCTTATCAGTCTTAAGTTTTTGAATAAGAGATACAAAGACGTTGATAAAAATAGATCTCGTTAAAGAAGGCAGTTATGCATGTGCCATGCTTTTCAACTATATTCTTCAAATTTACATAGCTGCCCATATAAATAATATACCTGGCTGGCTAATAAAGGAAGTAGAAGCAAAAACATGCATATAGGATAACAATAAAAGACACCAATTAAAAATACTGAACTCCCCAGTCATTTCAACACAAAACCTACAATCGGGATTCCACTGATACCTTGACCCCTACTAATCTTGCTCAACCTGATGCCTCCAAATGTATTGGACTATAACTCTTGATTTCTGGATAATATAGTCAATATCCTAGCTGCTGGAATATTGGTAATGTAGTCTAGCATAATCGGAGGATATCAGGAAAGATAACATAAATGTAAAGTATTTAACTACATTAGTTTGTTGCAACACAGATACAGAAAGACATGAATATTTTAGAAAAGAGCTCTATCGGGAGAGTTGCCTCATTGTTTATTAATTAAACTTTAGGGCCAAAGATAAGGGATTCATTGCATTTTTGAGATTGTTTAAGAAGTTAGTTACCTTAAATTGTCTTCAGTTTAAGTATGTGCATGAATAACTGAACAAGGAAATAAAAGAGATTTACTGAAGTATATGTCTCCTTGAACACAATGGAATACTTAATATATGGATAGAATAGTTGGCCTAAAAAACTTGATTGGGCATACCATAAGCATAAGGTAATTTAATATAGTTTTATTTGATTAAAATCAGTTTGACATTGCAGAACACCTGTTCATGTTTAATATTAGGAGTTCATTTCTCTGTGAGGCACTATTTTCATAAAATTAATACCATTGAACTTAATATATTGATTAAACCAACTTTGTTTTCGTTTATAGCCTGAGGATGAAGCTTTGGTTGTAGGCATGACAAATGGCATATTGAATGTTAAACATAGGAAGCCTGAAGGAGTAAAAAAGGTTTTGCATCGGAGAAGGCCTGCCTACCGAACCTTTGTGAAAGGAAAAAATTACCTACCAAAGCAGGTATGCAGAAAAAGGTGCTCAGAGAAAGCCCTATTTTTTTTTAGTGAATAGCATGAAGAAGTAAAGGGTAAAATTAGGCTACATTTCACTGGATATTAACTCTTAATGCGAAGGGCACCAGGTTGAAAAAGCTGATATGGGGTAGCCAATTAAAAACAAAAATAAGCAAAGATGCTGGACACTAAACATTTAAAATGTTAAGCGTTAAAATATTATGCATTTAAAATACAGATGTGGGCAGGTGGCAAATGGGGATAGAAGTAATCAAGTTGTAACCATATTGGTTCAAAGCAAAGTGAACAAAGTTTGGAAGGCCTTAGAACAGTCTGTTGTCTACTGAGTCCATGTCTCACTGAGTTAAATTGGATCTTTTTTAACATGTAAAAGGATCTATTTTATTTATGTAATAATTATCTTGCCTGGTCTTGTACTGTTTAAATGAGTGAAGAATTAAAATATAGAATGACACAAAAGCATGATTATTTGAAATATTGAAAAGCTTGTGATGGGACTCACACCAGGAATTTCAAAGTTTACTTATGATCACTGAAGATCCTTTTTCTCTTGGCTTCCTCAGATGATCTCTGTCATTGCTGAGATACAGAAAAATATTTCCACTTTTTTGTATGGTCTGTGCAGGGAGTTTGGGGAAATAGTCCAGACGCTATTCTGGATTGCAGTGATATTGTTTAAGATCATTGCCTAAAATTACCTAGTCAGGTGAGAAACCAGAAATCAGTACCCTCTTTTTTCCATGATGCGAGTATGAAGCAGTACATTGAGTAAACAACCTTGCAAGAACAATCTATATCTGTTATAGATTCCATTTGCCAGAGGAGATTAATTAAGACAAGAAGAAAATGAAGCTAAAACAGGAATTTTTTTTTTACAACTTATGTTGCTGACCAGTCTCTGACTCTTTTCCTGTCATTAGGATGATTTATTTGTCAGCAAGCCTGTGAAGAACTATTTGAAGAAATATGACAAGTTCCTGCGAACTTTCCAGGTTTCCAAGGCTCTGGATGCAGTACTTCAAGTAAGATAATGTTACCATCTGCTTTTAAATACACTTCAGTGGATCTGGTCAATATTTTCATAAATATAAGCCTTCTGCTATATATAGTCAATATCCTAGTATGCTATATATGCAATAACATTGGTACTGTTGTTAATAATGGGGAATACCAAATGTAATGTTAAAGGGTAATGAGGAAATCCTCTGTAGATTTTATATGAAGAGATATGAAGGATTAGGAAAACAATGACAGGACATTGTTTTGAGTATTGCTTGTTTAACTAGAATCTCTTTATATTTTAATAGAATTTTACAAAGTTCTGATCACATTGTAAATTGCAGTATTTCAGGATTACAGAATAGATAGGTAGTCCCAAAGTTCACAAACAATATAGAATAGAATAGAATAACAGAGTTGGAAGGGACTTTGGAGGTCTTCTAGTCCAACCCACTGCCTGGGCAGGAAACCCTACACCACTTCAGCCAAATGGTTATCCAACATCTTCTCAAAAACTTCCAGTGTTGGAGCATTCACANTCTCTTTCAGTCTTTTGTAAATAGTTTTCTAATAACATTGTCTTAAAAAGGATAATAATGTTTAACATTGTGCCACCTTTGTTCAGACTCCCATCCAGATAAAGGAATTTGGTGCAGTGAATAATATACACTTTTCTCCAGTTCCTCCATATAATTATGCTGTGACAGCCTCATCAAGGGTAAGATTTTAAGTTAAATTTTTGCTTTAAAATATCTACATTTTTTCTAATTCTACTTTATATTATAGTGAATTTCTGCAAATTCATTTGCTGTACCATCCTATTTTTATTTACTGCAGTAGAATAAATGTGTTCTGTTGTATGGAAAAGGATTTTATAATCATTTAGTTTTTCCTTTGGTGCATATTTTCACTTAGATTGCTCCTTTCACTTACTTTAGCAGCAAGAGCAAAGAATTTTCTTTTGTAGCCTCTAGGTTGCCACAGAGAACTGCCTACTAGTTGTTAAATTCTTCCCTCCTCGATACACAGGTTTATACACCAGCTCCCAGCTCATCCTGATTTCGTCTCTTTTTATCTTTATTTTTCATTGAACATTTTCCATTGATTGACGAGTCCTCCGAAGACATAGGAAACCTTCCCATCCCTGGTTCTTCTTGACTGCTTCACAGTAGTTGTTAGAAAGTTGTAATCACCATTTTCAGAACTTAATCTTTCAAGCAGCTTTATTAGAAGCATGGTTGCCATCCCATGCCTCATTGCATATCTTTCCTTCCCTGGGACTATTTTCAACATGCATTATATGTTGTTTTAGATTCACATATATGGGCGATATTCACAAGAGCCAATCAAAACATTTTCTCGCTTCAAAGATGTAGCTTATTGTGCTACCTATCGAGAGGATGGGCAGTTGCTTGTTGCTGGCAGTGAAGAGGGCAGTATTCGGATCTTTGACATTGGTGGGAGAGCACCATTAAGGCAATTTGAAGGCCACTCCAAGTAAGTATGGGAACATGACTGTACTTGATTCATTGCCTAATTGTTTCAATCTACAATTGTACTTTGGAGTAATTGCAATTTCAGATGTGAGAAAACATATTAGAAGCATCTGTTTTCTCAGTTAATTAACAAATGCTTTAATTATGTTGCAGATATAATATTTACAAGCAATAAGTTGTCATTGTTTTATCAATTGTTGTATCTCTAGTAATGTCATTTGTCACAGTGCATTGATTTAAAAATGCTTTGTGTAGAATTGTGGTGTAGTGTAGTCTTTTGGCATACATTTGCACATAATTGTTCACTTTTGCTGCATCAGATCAGACTTTGTTTATTCGTGACAAAACCTGATTATTAATTTTGGTTTTAATGCTACTGAAAATATTAACAACCGGGAAATGTTTGACTATTGATCCAAGCAGTGTTTTCATAATTGTATGTTTTTAAAATGTGGTTAGAGTTTGTCACTTTTTATGAATAGTACAGAATTTTAAAATATGAATTGTTGAATATATTTAATTTGCTAATTAAAGTTTAATTGGTTTGGTTGTTTATGTGCAAATCATATAGGATGCTCAAATCCAAACTAACTCTGATTGGCCTATAAGCTGCATATATATCCTGTTTAGTACATCATGCTTAACCCAGAATAACTGGATCATTATTTTTGCCTTGATGGGTGAACCCAGCCATTTTATTTGTATTCACTATGTGAATTAAGTGGACAGCTTTCCCTTATTATTTTTGTAGACCTTTAATATATTGTTCTCAAATTTTGTGTTAATTTTTTTTAAATGATAGAGATGATTTCAGATTCAGACTTTAAGTATCTCAGATAATCTTAAAGTAATTCAGAAAACCGTGCTAATCACAGTACTCTGAAATAGTAGAATACACAGTGTTTTATGCTTTGAAGGGTATGTATTGACTCTAGCAAAAATTGAGATGGCTTTATATTTATTGTTTTTTA